ATGTATATTTTGTGTGTCTATTGATAGTGTCAAACAGAGACCAAGTAACGGCTGAGGTTGCGGCTCAGGCTTTTTGCTTCTGTAGCACAAAAAGCCCCATAGCTTAAAAGTAGGACAGCACTAATATCAGAGTTTGAGTTCAGCTGACTGTTCAGGTTCAAAGTTTTTGCTTTTATTACTTTTGCATGTTTCTTGTAAAGAGCTCAAATTGAATGGTGTTTACAGCAGTGTGTACAGGTGGATCAGTTGTTTGGCTCTCTGGCTGTGGTCTGTTCATTCGTTCCCATACACCAGGGGTATCCAAAGTCGGTCCTCGAGGGCCGGCATCCTTCATGTTTTAGTTCTCTCCCTGGTTTAATGCTCCTGGATCCAATGATGGCTCATTAGAGGCCTAAGAAGAATACTGACTTCCTGAAAAGGTTGTTACCACCTCCAGGGAGAGAACAAAACATTCAGGATCCTGGCCCTTCAGGACCAACCTTGGACACCCCTTCCATAGACTAACTCTTTTGGGCTGAATACAGAAGTGATTCCATAGAAATAACACAGGAACGGCTTCTTTATTTACCAGAAAGGTAAATAAACCCTTTATATTAGAAAAACAACAATGTGCACAGTATTGCTTTATTTGCGTTTGAAATATGACTTTGTCTTTTCAAGTTGTCATGGTAACTCAAAAACGGAAAACAAGAAAGCCACATTTCGCTCATGTGGATGTGACATCAGCGCCATTTGTGCAACACCCTGCTGATAAATTCTAAAGATTTTTACTTTGACTCCTCTTAACACAGCTATTTTCAGTCAGAAAATATGAATGCATTCATGATTTAATTTGTGAAACTGAATAGTAGTGGTTGCTCAGAGGATATAGATGAGATGTTTCTGTGCTTATGTGGGACAGAAAATCATATGGCAAAGACAACACACCACATGGATAGATTTCACTCATTAAACCTTCCAAAATCTCTTGAAATCAAACGTGAGATCAGAGTTAAGAAACCTGATCAATGAAGAAGAAGCAAAGATAATAGTTTGCAGACTATTTTTAACAGAGGTGAAATTATACAAAAAGATGTGTGATGTCCACCAGACTTTCTGGGTCATGGCAGTTGTTTTGTCTTCTGTGTCCACTTTCTGTCACCTCGAGCTCTTATTGGCTACACATCGCATTCCTACACATTTTTCCTCGAGAAACACCCTGTGATATCGGGTCAAAATGATTCAACATGTTGAACACCTCAAATTTGAGATCAAATTCAGATTTATACTTTTAATATACAAGAATACATAAAAGCTATCAAACGTTAAAAAGTAAAAAAACAATCAAATGTACCAAGAAAAATACAGAAAGTATAAATCAATCCAGAGAAGTCCAGACCACCTTCTAATCAGACTAGATTACTCTTTACTCATATGATTACTCATATACAGTTGGAATATCTCCAAAGATTGTTTTTTAGAGCAAAGGCGATAATAGAAGCATCCTTAAAATAGTTGGAATGGGAAATTGATGTCAAAATTAGCATAATTATCTTGCCATGTGAGCCAGGCATTTCAAATCCTGCACCTTTAAGCTGAAATAAAAGGCTATCATCCTTTATAACCAAAGACCCCACGTCCAAAACAGCATAATCACCAGAATTCAGATTTTTGTTTTGTTTTTTGTCAACATATAGTTTTTGATTCAAATGTGATTCATTAATTACACATCCTGAAATTTAGTCAATTAAAAGTTCTATTCGAGTTTCATCACTTGTATTTATATATTTTATGAAGTATTATTAATAATACTACAGCTTGGCACTCAATTTGCTTCGATGCTAAGACTTCCATTAGAAGTGGTTGCTGGAATTTGCACACAACACTCTTCACCCTCCACAGTGGAAAGCGGCAACCCCATGCATGTGGAGTGAGACAATGACCCAATAACAGACGCAGACTGAATCTAAGAAACTGTGAGGTAAAGGCATCCCCAGACAACATTCTCCAGGGATCTTCACTTGTTTGAGTAGATGGTGTTATTGATATCCATCTCCAGTGTCACATACGACTTAGTGGTAATCCTATCTGCCAGCAGGGCCCCAACTTACTGCTTCCACCTTCCACTCTGCTGACAGCTAACCATGAGGAGTGATGAATGGAGGAGTTGTGTAGCCAGCCAAGCACACAACCCTCATAATGTGTGATCAGACATGATCACACTGACTATATTTTACTGGATCTTACATTAGATATCAAGAAAGCACAACACAATATCATATTTAAAATCATAAAAGTACTTTTATCAACAAAGTGTATTTAATAAAGGGTGTTCATACACACGTTTCTTGTGCATAGACCTGTCGCTTATTTAATTTTGACAAATTTAGAACTTTAACTTTACAGGACTCTGATAAAGGCATTTTGTCTCTGATGATATTACCTGTTTTTTTTCCCTCTCACACTTCAATGTTTCAGATCATCAATCAAATGTTAATATCACATAAGCATAACCCAAGTTAACAAAAAGGAGTTTTCAAATGAGGATTTCATCTCTATGAAGGGAAAAAAGACATCAAAAACAATCCCCCTCCGTGTGAAATAATACATCAAATGTAACTAACCACACGTCAAGGGAAACTGAGTTTAGTTTCATCAGACACCCAGCCCTGATTTCTGGCTGGCCCGTAGAATCAGGAAATAAATTAAACAGAATGTGTCTGATTACGTGTACTACACCTAATTTATATAAATTGAACAGATGAGAAACAAAGTTACTGACATTTGTGATTCTCAAGACTAAACCATTGAAATGTTTCCAAACTGACAGTGAGGATCTTTATCGATAAAAGAATGAAACATGGAACAGTGGAAAACTTTCCCAAGAGTGGCCAGCTTACAGAGAAGATTCAAGAACAAAATCTACAGCTCTGCAGGCCACACTGCCACAGTGAAGGTCAGAGTTCATGATTCAATACACACACAAAAAAACAAAAAAAACAAAGACGTGCACAAAGATCACCACTGCTGACCCAAAAGGACACAAAGGTTTCTTTTACGTTTACCTTAAAGGTTTTGAGGAAAATATTATGTGGAGTGATGACATAAAAGTGGCACTTCCTGGAAGATGTGTCCCATTACTTATGGTGAAAAACTAACAACGTTAAAGAAAAAGAATATCTTACCCAAAGTAAAACATGGTGATGGTGTTACAGTCTGCAGCTCCTGTCCTGCTTCAGGAACTGAACAACTTGAGCTAACTGATTAATTTTGTGAGGATTTGGATTTTGTGTGTGTCTTCAGTTAACTGAGTCTCAGTGTTGTCCCGGTTACCCTTTGTTTGTCCCCATATGTTCCTTGTTTTCCCTGATTACCTTCCCTGTGTATTTAAAACCCCTTGTGTCTCTTGTTCCATGTTGGATCCTTGTCTAAGCTGTCGTGTCATGTGTCTAATGTCCTGTATTCCCAGTGCTACCACTGTCTGTGTTTTCCTTGCCTCATTGCTCATATGTGCTGCCTGGATTTCTGTTCACCTTTTGTTTATTATTAAAACAATAATTTTTTATCTCCACCTGGGTCCACCATGTCCATCCTCTCCACAAAACCTACAACTCATGACAATTTATGCTCTCTAGCTCTAAGTCCTGAAGCAGAACATCTGACTTGACTTGAATCAAAACAATAAGAATAGTAGGTCAGGTTGGTTTGGATAGATGTCTACTGTAGTAAAAGTAATCGGAATATAAAAAACTGCATTTTAAACTTACTCTACTCATCTTCTCTAAAAAATACATTAGTTTGATGTAGTTTGGTTTGTAGGACAAACAATCCTTAGTGATTGTGATGTTGGCACTAATATTATTATTTTCACAACATAAAATGCATTCGAAGTGCTGACTGAATATTGTATTAAGTCTTTAAAAGGAGGCTGAAAAATGTTCAGTCAGATAGCTTAGAGAATCAGTCATTAGAAGCTTTAGCAGTTTGTTTTGCAGCTGATTTACTGATTAACTCACTGAACCCTTCAGAACAAAAAACATTTCCTGATTACTGGGTTCATTTCCATTCTCATCCTTTGTTTTCCCTCCCATGTTGTTGGGCTCACAATGACTCGAAGTCATCAGCTATTATGGGAATCAAATGAATGACAGCATAAAACCTGCCCCGATTAAGATCTCTTCGTGTGACAACAGTTTCTTGGAGCTCTGATTGCCAGTGCTGATCTAGTTTCCCACACTGCCTCTCCAAGTAAGGAGCTGGAGCAGGTTTTGTTTGGCTTGCTGCTCTGTTTGGATGAGATAATAGATTACCTGTCGCTTTTTATACAGAACCACTTTGGAAAAAAACATTAGTTTTCCCCCAATTAAACAGAGGAACCATCCCACTCCTCTGTCATCAGCAGTTGAAGCTATGTACTGAACTGCTGAACCAAGACACAATTGTGAGCATCAAAGTCCTGCCTTCATAGGAAAGACATGGAGCTTTACCTCCAAAGTCCCCACACAGGAATGTGATGTGTCCAGACAGATAAATGATGATGCACACTGAGGTGGTTCTTGCATCAGAGATGCCCTAGGTGAGCCCCCTAAAAAAAGCAAACACACACACCCAGTACTCTGGGAAAATCCAATGTTTCATGATACTTGACAGAAACATTAAAGGAGGTGCTGTCTACTCTTTGTCCATCTCTGTGAATGCTCAGACAGATAGATGGAAGTCAAATAGTCAGCAATATTTTTCATTCATAGTGCATAAGCCAGGATGGCACACATTTCCCATTGACTGAAGATCCCACAAAGCAACAGAAACCTTCCCAACCTATTTCATGTCTGAAAACATGAAATAGAATAAAGGATCTCCAAATCCACCACTGGATACAGATGTGCCCCAGGAAATGGGGCACTTCTGTCTCAAAAACACCAGTGATTAACTTGTTCCAGGAAAACATTTTTATGAAATTCTGAAGAAAATAAACTGAAATAATAACTTATGTTTAATAATCTATCACATGATCAACTTACCGGCCATGAGAACTGGAAGGGAATGACAATCTTCCCAGTGTCGTGACTGCCTTTCTGGCTTCCTCTGAACTGGAAAGTATTCCCACCAATCACCTTAGTGATTTCTGATCCATAGGTGCATGGTCCGCCAATCTTCACCTCCTGTTGGTATTCCTTTAAACACACCCTGAAGTAAGTATCACACTCGTCCAGGCCGCAGTTCCCATCTGCCTGGCGGCCCTCCGAGTCGCAGCAGTCGCCGTTTAGAAGCTGACCTCTGGGATTTTCCACCGAGATGAGTTGCAGCTCAAAGTAACCCGAAGACTGACAAACCTGAGTGGCAGACAGGGAAGTGAAGAAGGTTAAAGCTGCTTATCTCTACTGCAGACTTCCAACGTGTGGTATGAACAGACAGAAGTCATTTTCCCATGTGGTGTTCAGCCAATCAAAGCAAGAAATACTATTTTTCTTTCGCTTATTCATAAAGTGCATTCCAACAAAGTATTTTCATCATCTTCAGGCTATAAACACCTCCATCAGCAGTAGGTTCTTTGATGCACATTTATTTTGGTTAAATAAAATTATAATACTTAGAAATAGGCAGTGCAAGCTGCCTGCATGTGTATTTGCACTTAGTAGTATAAAATTTTCATCAAAATTTTCAGATTTATGAATTTGACCCATCAAAGTTTCTCTGATTGATGATCAGAAAATCCAATCCTGAAAAATCCAAACATTTTCTCCTTTCAAATGAAATAATTTATGAACTATAGTTGAATAAGCACTTTTGTAATAATTTACTTGAGTTTAATAAAACAAAGTAGACTTGCAGATAAACTTGTATCCATAAAATAATAGAATTTACTTTCTTTTCACAAAAGAAACCAACATGTGCAATTCTAGTTTTGCACATGTTTAAAACTAGGATTCTTTTCATTAAAAATAGTAAAATCCTCCTGTGACGTAATTTTGTGAAGCACTTTGGTCTGTTGAGGTTGTTGTAAATGTCCTAATTAAATAAACTTTGACTTGACTTATAAGAGCTAAAATTGAAAAAGAAAAATAATAATGAAATAAAATATGATGGTCAGTTTCCAATTTTGTTACATAAATTTTGAATTATCTGAACAACATATTTCTTTGTTTCATTCATCTGAAAATCGAACTTTAAGAGTAGCCTACAGAACATTTATCAACTCTTTCTGAACTGGCCAAATGTTTCCACCATCCAAACGCACCCAACCCTTTGGAAGAGACATGAGGCTCCAACTGCTGTTTGAGTTAACAATTACTAGTAAGTAAAATAGCGATATGAGTTCTCGAAAGGAACCCATTCTTAGTGAGTCGTGACCCCCAGGGATGCCAAACCTCATCTTTGAAGACCACTGCAGCACATTAACCAAGTTTCTCTGAAGTTGATTCCTGTAGCCTTTTGTTGGGAAAAAGGTGCAATTTCCTAGTTAATGTCTTCTTAATTTTCAGCTTGCAGATACTGTACGGTCTGTCAGCGCTGCAGTTCAGCGCAATTTTTGGAGCTGCAGTTCAGGTTGCAGCTGTGCAACTGACCTTTAGCCTTAAGATTTTTTTTCACTGCTCCCAAAAAACAAACTTTGAAACTGACTAAAAATAGATCAGACCTGTTAAAGTATTATTATTATTATTATTATTATTATTATTTTATTTTATTTTAATTATTATTATTATTTTTTTTTTTTTTGCTTATACAGCAAACTGGAAATTGCCCCACTAATAACAGACATTTCAGACATGGATCATTACTTCACTAATTAAAAGTGACATGATTAAAAATTATACGCAGATCATTCTGCTGGGAAATATTTGCATTCGCTGAAGGGAGTAGGTATATTTAGAAATAATAGATCTGAGTTCTGCTCCAAATACATAATGGAGTTACAAAATATGGAAAACAATAAAACATGGGAAAAGCTGAATCAAGTGCAAAGTTATCATCTTGCTTGGAGAGCAACCTGATCAAGTTCTCACCTCGGTGCATGCAGTCAGCAGGAAACAAAGTATGAAGAAGCGATGCGCTTTCCCCGGGTCATTCCACATGTCTCCGTCCGATCAGAGTTAAGGATCATCAGGGAAAAGAAGCAGATCTGTGCGCCTCAGGAGGTCAGAATAATACTGGAGATGGAGGGAAAGCAGTATCCAGATAGTCGAGGGCGTGCAGGGCTGCAGGAGGAGAAGCGCACCTCTACCGCTGATGCCACTGCTGTCTGAGCTGCGTACAGTCCGCCTTACCTCCGCAGCTCCGCTCTGGGATCTGAGGAGCGGGACAGTGCAGCAGCAGAGCGTCTCTGCTGTCCAAAGCAGGCGCATAGACGGTGCTATGACTGGCAGCTCAGCGGGCCAATCATAGACCGGCGAGGTGAATCGTTTCTAGCTGAGAGCCAATTAGAAGGAGAAACTCCGAAAGGGACTACTGATGGATTTATTGTTGAGGTTCCTCTCTGATGCGTTGCTACAAGTATTTTAACGACCTTAAGCATGGAGTCGAGTTTCATTTATCTACAATATTAAACTTTTAGAATTGTTTTTCCTTAAAACCTGAATGTAAGGATACTCTTGATACAATATCTGCTTCTATTCTTCCATTCTTATGATAAAAAGCTGACTAAAGGTTTATCCTCTAAATGAGGGCCATAAATCAATTAACACATTCAGTTCAGTGGAGTTCTGTGTTCCTGCGTCCTTTTCAGAGTACGACCGAAAGCGCCCTCTACTGACAGCTAACTATGGCAAAGTCTTGGATATGAGACCGATGTGAATGGATTCACTAACATACACAGAAAAACAAAACACTGTTGGAATCTCATCTAAGTAGTTAAGAAAACTTAAATCAAATAATTACATTAAAACCAAATGTAAAAATGCACGTTTAACAAAATGTACTACATTCCACCTTTAAGATAATCTGACTTGAAATAAATCATTACGAGAACTACAGCTTTTTACAAATCAGTGCAATATGAATAACCGGAAAAATAAATAATAGACGGTGTTTACCTGTAATTTCTGGTCCATTACTACCAGGTCATTATAGGTAGGGTATGATACATTTGTTTCCCACAATCAGATGAACTTTTAGACATATTTTTGAAGAAACTAAAATCTTTATAACCTTAAAACTAAACAACTATGAGAAATGGCATCTTTGTGTTTTCACAGTAAATCCAAGTTTTATAAATAATTTGTGCCCATCCTATACATAATGACACAATGTGATATTTATTAAGCTGGCAAGTGATTAGCCCAAAGTTGGACTGTACAGTGGTTCAACATCTAGTTATTAAACTGGAGGTTGGAAGAATTGCAGAACAACCAAAATGGTTCCAGGTTTAAAAAATAAAACTACTAATGTGTCTTATCTGTTCACATATCTCAGAGATTGTGTTGTGCTTAATTTACTTTACTGTCCAGGATATATTTATGACAGCAGTGTGTAATGATTCAGTTGGAGAAAGTAAATCTGAAGCACCTTCAAGAAGCATTTGGAGTCTACAGCATGGCTGCTGTTCACTCCATTGGTCACAACCATGATGAGTTCACAAGAGGTTTGCTAAATCGAGTTCATTTTCAACTACAATGCAACATCTGACAAAATAAAACAGTCTTGAACTTCATTTATAGTTACTGTAATTACAAACAGTTGCAGAGGAAGGCTCCAGCTTCCTCTGGTCAGAAACAAGAAAACAGAATCTATAAAAACAATGAAATGCTACCACTTTGATGAAAGAGTGCCACTTTTAGCACAACTCATTTATCATTAAGCTGTAAATCAACAAAGTATTTAAATCTTTAACACATACTCTTTGTCCAAATGTGGCAGTGATCACAGCAGATGTAGAGATGAGTTTCATTGAGTTAGTGCAGTTCGCCACCATCTTTGTTTAAAAAATACTATGTGTTGAATTGTTTTAGAAGAACATTAATTGTTTCTGAAAGACCTTGCTTGTGTTAGAAGAACTATGATGACACTTTTTCTTATGTTCATAGGGAAATCTGAGTTATTGACAGAAGCTCTGCTGCCTCCCAAAACAAGAACAACATTTTAAAATCTTCTAAACAGCTAACAATAATTTAAAAACTGACAATGTCCAAAAATAAATATTTTCCATTGTCTGTTAACCAGTATGAAGGGTCTCCAAAATGTATATGCCCCTTGAATACTATATCCTTTTTATTGCTTTTACAACTCTGTCACAAAATTTGGCTTTTTTCAAATTGCAAACTGATTTCTTCTCCAGTGTGTCTGTCAGATGCCGCTGCTTCTATAGTGGGTCTGTCCAACGCCTTCATTGCTTCTCATCGCCTCCAAGCATGTGAGCCCACTCCTCATCACCAGCAGCTGATGCTGCTTTTTATTTCTAAGGGTTCTGACAAGAAACGTACTCCCATGTCTGCTTACAGTGCTCCTCAGTCTGCTGCCACATCGTCAGTTTCTGCCTTGCAGCATTTTTTCTACCAACAGCAGAAGCTGCCCTCACTGCTGCTTAACTTGTGGAGCTGTTGTCCTCCTGGTCGTCACAGGAGCTGTTTCTCAGTCAACTACTATAGCAGAAGCAGCTGCACCACTGCACAAAGTCCATCAAAACATGGATGCCAAAGTCTGGAGTGGATGAACTTGACTTACCAGCACAAAATCCTGACCTCAACCCGATAGAACACCTTTGAAATGAATTAGAGTGCTGACTGACAACCAGGCCTTCTCGCCCAACATCAGTGTGTGACCTCATAGATGTGCTTCTGAAAAAATAGTCAAAAATTCACGTTAAAAGTCCTGAACCTTGTGGAGAGCCTTTCCACAAGAGCTGAAGCTATTCTAGCTGTAAAGGGTGGATCAACGTCATATTGAACCTTATGAATTAGGAATGGGATGTCACTTAAGCTCATATGTGAGTCAAGGCAGTTGGCTTGTTCGGCAATATAGTGTTCGTAAATATCTGATTACAACTACATATATATATATATATATATATATATATATATATATATATATATATATATATATATATATATATATATATATATATATATAAAAAAAAATTCCCTTCTCACCCACCGCGGGTGGTTCTTATCCTCTGAGCTCGGGTCCTCTACCAGAGGCCTGGGAGCTTGAGGGTCCTGCGCAGTATCTTGGCTGTGCCAAGGACTGCACATTTCTGGACTGAGATGTCTGATGTTGTTCCTGGGATCTGTTGTAGCCACTGCTCCAGTTTGGGGGTTACTGCCCCGAGGGCCCCGATGACCACAGGCACCACTGTGGTCTTCACCTTCCAGGCCCTCTCCAGTTCTTCCCTGAGGCCCTGGTATTTCTCCAGTTTCTCATGCTCCTTTTTCCTGATGTTGCAATCACTTGGTATTGCTACATCTACCACAACGGCTTTCCTCTGATGTTTATCCACTACGACAATGTCTGGTTGGTTCGCCATTACCATTTTGTCTGTCTGGATCTGGAAGTCCCACAGGATCTTAGCTCTGGCGTTCTCCACCACCTTTGGGGGTGTTTCCCACTTTGATCTTGGGGTTTCCAGTCCATATTCTGCACAGATGTTTCTGTACACTATGCCTGCCACTTGGTTATGTCGCTCCATGTACGCTTTCCCTGCCAGTATCTTGCACCCTGCTGTGATGTGCTGGACTGTCTCAGGGGCCTCCTTGCACAACCTACACCTTGGGTCTTGTCTGGTGTGGTAGATCTGGGCCTCTATTGCTCTGGTGTTTAGGGCCTGTTCCTGGGCGGCCAGGATGAGGGCCTCTGTGCTGTCCTTGAGTCCAGCTTTTTCCAGCCATTGGTAGGATTTACTGATATCAGCCACTTGGGTTATTTGCTGGTGGTACATCCCATGTAGGGGTTTGTCCTCCCATGATGGTATCTCTGGCACCTCAACCTCCGTTCCCTGTTGTCTGAGACATTCACTGAGCACATTGTCTGTTGAGGCTTTGTCCCTGATGTATTTATGGATCTTAGTTGTTTCGTCCTGGACAGTGGTTCTCACACTCACTAGTCCTCTGCCTCCTTCCTTGCGGCTTGTGTACAGTCTCAGGGTGCTGGATTTGGGATGGAACCCTCCATGCATTGTTAGTAGCTTTCTGGTCTTAATATCTGTGGCTTTTATCTCCTCCTTTGGCCAGCTAATTATTCCAGCAGGGTATCTGATTACTGGCAAGGCATAGCTGTTTATCGCACGGATTTTGTTCTTGCCATTGAGCTGGCTTCTCAGGACTTGCCTTATTCGTTGGAGGTATTTAGCTGTGGCTCCTTTCCTTGTGACCTCATCGAGGTTGCCATTTGCTTGTGGTATACCTAGGTACTTGTAACTGTCCTCTATGTCTGCTATTGTTCCTTGTGGGAGTGAGACCCCTTCTGTGTGGATGACCTTCCCCCTCTTTGTGACCAGCCGACCACATTTCTCTAGTCCGAATGACATCCCAATGTCAGTGCTGTAGATCCTGGTGGTGTGGATCAGTGAGTCGATGTCTCGCTCACTCTTGGCATACAGCTTGATGTCATCCATGTAGAGTAGGTGACTGATATTGGCCCCATTTTTGAGTCTGTATCCGTAGCCAGTCTTGTTGATAACTTGGCTGAGGGGGTTCAGGCCTATGCAGAACAGTAGCGGGGACAGAGCATCTCCTTGGTATATGCCACATTTGATGGACACTTGTGCAAGTGGTTTGCAGTTGGCTTCAAGGGTGGTTTTCCACAGCCTCATCGAGTTTGCAATGAAGGCTCTCAGAGTCCTGTTGATGTTATACATCTCTAAGCATTCAATGATCCAAGTATGCGGCATTGAGTCATAGGCTTTCTTGTAATCAATCCAAGCCATGCACAGGTTGGTGTGTCGGGTTTTGCAGTCTCGGGCAACTGTGCGGTCTACGAGGAGTTGGTGTTTGGCTCCTCTGCTATTTACACCGATACCCTTCTGTGCCATGCTCATGTGTTTATCCATGTGTTTGCTTATCTTGGCCGCTATGATGCCTGACATGAGCTTCCAGATTGTGGAGAGGCAGGTTATTGGTCGGTAGTTGGGTGGGACTGGACCCTTTGATGGATCCTTCTGGATTAGGATTGTCCGCCCTTCAGTTAACCATTCAGGGTGAGTCCCACTTTGTAGCAGCTGGTTCATTTGGCTATATATATATATATATATATATATATATATAATATATATATATATATATATATATATATATATATATATAGTATGGTAATGGCGAACCAACCAGACATTGTCGTAGTGGATGAACAACAGAAGAAA